AGAGTGTACGAACATAAGCCGTGGAAAGTGTAATCTTTCATATCTATTGTCCTGATGTGACCTGCTCCAGTCACTAAACATGATCCGGTGCAAACCTGAGATTCACATTGCCACTTTCCATTGTTACATGTACTGAAAGAAACAATTCAATTGATAAAATATTTATGGTGCAAGAACAGTTCTGTGACGTGCATAGGCCTACGTAGTTCGAAATAGGTACAAGCCAAATTATTAAAATGAGACGATTTAAATAAAACTTTCTTAATGTTTGCGTTTGAAAAAAAGAAAAAAGTACGACCTACCATTCATTACACTGTTGCATGATTGAAGACCCGTTGTAATATTTTTTTCTGTTGTACATACATGGACATAATTCCCTCTCAATACAGACGCCTTCCTCAAGATATTTTCCTTCTGGGCATTGACAACCTGGTACACAGGATGTCGGGCAGTACTGCGCCAGATTATAGTTCGCCGAAGCACACGTACGTTTACAGCTTGATCCGCATTCCATGTAAACCTGTCCACCAGGACAGGATTTAGCTGTGTCGAAGAAAAAAAAAAGTTGTCAAATTAAAACATTAAACATTTAGTGTGGTGCGGTAGTCTATTACAATTTGCTATTAGCTGCCACACACTATGTCTTGCCTAACAGCCTAGTCAGTGTATGTGTAGCAAGAATGGTGCGGAATCATCAAATAACTTACGGCACAAGTCCTTGGATCTCCAGTTTAATGAGACCTCATTACTGGAACATTCTCTAGCGTAGGCTTCCAACACATTACAAAGGGATGTTTCTGATTCGACGCTTAATGAACACATTTCCCGCATGCAGTCATCGTGATAGAAGCTTGGATCAATCTAACAAATGCATAAGAACAGTCAAAAATGTTTTAACTTGCGCATGTGTCTTGACGCTCACGAGACCAATGGCTTAAACATCTCTTCCAAAAAAAAAAACGTTGCGCAAATTAACTGGTACATGTATTTCAGTTCAAAAGAAACTCCTGATAGAATTGAACCATGCACCCATATATCTTAATGGTTCATACCACCAGTTTACCCGACTATGCTTTTAGTATTATGTTATATGCTCATGTTTGTATATAGATGACAGTTAAATGTTTCATATGATAAATATTGATCACAATAGTAGAATGACATACGAAGGTGCTCCCTGCCATTTCAATCCTTTGATACGGTAATGATGTACATGTACATAATTTGTACTAAAGGTAGGTAAAGGTAAAGGTAAGAAAATAACCCTGGCTTACCGCTCTGCCACTCGACTCGCCGTACATTCATACACATTCATGACTATATAAATTATTCTATGTCTTGGTCTCATTATACTTACCACTTCATGACACGGCGCAAAGATTTCTCGTCTTAAGATATTACATTCAATCCTGGCGGAATCCGCAAGTTCGGGAAAAGTGAAGCATGGATGCACTACATCAGGGACATCAGCACATATCTGATTTAAAGTGCGATAAAAAAAAACAGTATTAATTAAATATTCTAAACTGAAACTTATACTAATATAATTAAATTAATGCCTACGTCATGCATTATTGTTTACACCTATATCCATAATATTACTATGCAATAGATCTGATTTTAACATTAAGTTAAATCATTAATCTTAACAGAGGTCCGTAAGCTTGCTTCCATATAATCGCTACAATGCGGCTACAGTGTTGTAATAGTGCAATCGTTGTACAGCGTAGCAGTCCCCGACTCAATCAGGAAGGGTCCCTGATCCGACCGACCAATCAGCATCACCGAAAGCAGCTGTCGGCGATAGCTTGTAGCGACTGTTTGGAAATCAAGATTTAACAAACATTCATAGCGAAATACAGAGCTAAGTTTAATCACAGAGCGAAAATAATGTGATGACACATACTTTGAAAAGATTGGATCTGTTGGAATAATTAAATGATTATTATTGCATTGTTCATTAGGTATCGACAAATTAGAGTTTTATGACAAAAAAATATAAATAAACCGACCTCATCAAAAGATGAAGATTTCCATGAGTTACCAAGAGATGACGTAAAACGCGTTTGAAGTCCGTTCCTCATCGCCATATCATCTGGTAACAAAACGAATAAGAATAAACGTTAAGAATCGAAAATGCATCATTATCGGGTTGATCAATAGTGGACAAGTTTCATAATAAATTTTAAAAAAGAAGAACACCATTTATATTACAGATAAGTACAAATAAGGAAATATAAAATTCAACCAGATAAAGTCAACTTTTAGGTTGTTTTGTACATTGAAACACGTCCTTAGCTTTCATTTGAAAATGTACGGTATGAAAATAATAATGAAATTCATCTCCAAGTAACCGAAGTACAAAAATATACCGTCATATTCTTTGCATACTCTTTATGTTTTTTAACATTGGCTTCTCAATTATTCTCATGTTAGTTTAACAAATGTGACCTTACTTGACGTATCCCCATCGTAGTTGCCACACAGACCCTGACTGGAGCCTTGTAGCTGTTGTACAAGGGTAACATAGATTCTTGACTCTTCGTCCCATTTGGCGCGCACACCGAGACCGGTCTCTAAGAAATAGAAGTCACCGTCCTTCCAAATGCTGATACCTGAAACAAAAATGCGTGTTCAATAACAAAATTTATTCAGGAAAGTCATTCACTGTTTTGTAAAGCGTAAGAAAAGGTCATCTAAGCCATAAAAAGGCTAATCACTATAAATTATTAAATAACAATTATATCAAAAGTGTACGGTATATTTACAATTAGTAAAAATAACAATAATATATGCACTTGAAATTAAACATTTTTTAATTATTATGAAAACAACAGAATTAGTATTTCAAGAATTAAGCCTAAATAAAATGTGTCAATTGATTGAATATGACTAATGTGAGCTTACCTTTCTCTCCAAATGGCAATGCCGTAATGTTATTCCCGTTTAAGTTTATCTTTGAGCCCTCAACTACCAGTATATCTAGAAGCCCAAGTTGTAACGTCATACGCTGTTGAAAATATGATAACTAATGTTACACTGTAGTAATGTATTCAATTTTAAAATAGTTAATTGGGGCGCATTAAAAATGTATATTACTATAAGAAAGTAAGCATTTGCGCACGTCATAATATGAAATAAATCTATATTAAAAACATGACAGTAACAGTTATTGGATATAACCATTTCGTTTATACCAAGGCCTATTAGAATTGATTGATAGCCTAGTGAAAAAAACAGAGTAATATTAATTTAGATGAATGACTGTAAAAACAAAACAAGAAATCGAATTCTTCTTTAATATTTCCTTTTTTTCTCACCTTTCGGCACGTAAGCGGGCTGTCGCAATTCAGATTTCGTATGATTACGCTCCATGTCTCGTCAATGTCTGCCGTCAGGATGTACTCGCAATTTCCGAGGAAATTGTACCTGAGGCCATCGAACGTTCGGAAATGCTCCATTCCCCAAAACACACATGTCGCGAACGGTAGAGCGTTTACCACAGAGCTTGTCACGTTTTCAGCTTAAAATATCAAAATTGTTTTTTCATTTTTTTTCATCAATTATCAGTTTTATTTTGTGCAAATAAATTAAATTTGGCCCAAGATTAATACAATAAAATTAAAAATACAAGTGAATGATATTCAAAGTTTGAAAAATATTCACTTGTATTTGGAGGATGTTATCTGTCAAGATAAAACATCTCTGTCCATTATGTTTAACATTTATATTATTATTATTATTTGATCAAACTAATCAAATATAAATATAAAATAATAGTTAATATAAAATTTATAGATAGGCCTATGACCCAGAAAAGAGAAAGATGGCATGAATTCATCGAGGCCCTATTAGGATGCAAACTGATTGTGTATCTTTATATGCCTGTATTTTGTATGTATGAATAATATTCCTTACGTTCTGTTAGCTGGCATTGGTCTCCGAACCAATTGAAAGGACAATCACACTTGTTCGGCTCAAAGCAAATGCCTCCATTTTCACAAGGAATGGAACAGATGGCTATAATAATAATAATAACAACAATAAAAGGAAACAGGAGTTAAAGTACTGAAAAAAAATCCACACATATAAATAATAGACAGATATAGGCCTAGTAGCAGTATGTTGATTACAAGATCAAATTGGCCATAGTTGTATGGAGCTTCTTAAAGGTATGTAGTGTAGCTAGTCAACAATACAAATAACCTAGATTGTGAGTAGATACTAATATAATAATTATTTTCAAGGCATAGGGCCTAATCGTCATCTGTTACTTTAATTTTATTGTTTTTACTCTTATATTTTTCTCCTCTCGTAATTACTTCAAAATTTCCAAAAGGATAGACCTAACAGTCTGCTCTTTTTTCCAACGCATGTATAATATGCTTTTGTCAGTAACTTACGTATCGTGCATAAGTCGCCCTCGTACCCATCGCAACATCTCTTTACATAGTCTAAAACCTCCACATTTTCGAAAACGGCAGGCCTAAGAATCAAATATAAAATAGTTATCAACACCTATTAAACTGTATGCATATGTTTAACATTATGTAGACATATTTTCTTGTAATCGAGACGTTACATTACAAACCAATAGGCCTATTATTATTATTATTATTATTATTATTATTATTATTATTATTATTATTATATAACATTATTGAAAAACTGAAATAAATATCTTTTTTTTTATAATTAACATAAATAACAATTTTTGCTTTTCAAATGTAATATTAAAAGAAGACTGACCTTTCTTTAATTAAGTATTAAGAAACATTTTAACCATTCTAATCGACTTAAAGCAATGTTTTTAAGCTATTAATTTCAGCTGTGACGCCGTGATTGGACAAATAGTTAGTTATTGTTTTAAAAAAGTTTATTTTGTGCCTACCACGGCGTCCATCAAACCATTTGAAGCTGTTAAAAGCAAAATTCAGTGCACAAACTGATAGAGTTTTCATTGAGCCTGAGGATAATTTTTCCAACATATTCCACCTGTGTTTGTCAACAAGATTAGTTTAAGGTTCAGTATCCATTACACAATAAAGTGGAATGAATGAAAGTGGAAACTATTTTTACCATACATAATTATAGACCAAATGGTATTAATAACAATAAACCGAATATTAAAATTATGAAAAAAGATTAGTTATATTGTTTCTCTGTATGTGTATAATACAGATAATTTGAACTGTTTGTATGCCTCATCATGAGTTTGGTAGTTGCCAGAGAAAGGAATACTGCGCGTAGCTAATCATGTTAATACTGAGGGCTTTGCATTTTCAAATTGTTAAATGTAGCCTACAACAAAACCCAGACAAAGAATCGACTTTTGGAATAAAACTATACAATTTCATCCAATTTCTTTTCTTTTCATTTTCGAGATACCAATGTAAAATTTTACAAATCGAGTTACGTTCACATCGAAAACAGATAATAGATAATTACGTAAACATATCCATTTCCATGGAAATGGAGGTATTAGTTCGTACACAGCTGTGATCCTAAACGTTTCATATAACGTGGGTATAGGGGCAAGTTGTATAACATTACAATATCAATAATAGAATTGTGTAACAATTCCTATCAAACATGGTGTATCGTCTGCTAACTCTATACTAAATTGTTTCTAGTCTATTTATATCACGCAAAATAAAAACCCAATGTGAGCTAAAATATCGAACTTTCTTTTATTTCTATCTATGTAAATTGATGCATTTGGACCATGGACATAGCACCATTGAAATTATTCTATTCGGAGATAATACTTCTTTTTATAAATTTCTTATTTTAGATTTTGTTTTCATTTTATAAAAATGCCTTTAAATTTATAAATGTAATATCTTATGGCAAATACTATATTTTAGTAAAGTATATGATTTGTTAAAAATGTATTTATTTTTCATCAGAATTTTGTTTGGGTAAACCACCACAGGTATGGATGGATGGATGAATGGATGGATGGATGGATGGATGGATAGATAGATAGATGGATGGATGGATAGATGAATGAACAGAAGGACGGATGGGTGTTTAAATGAATGAATGATTGAAATAATGGATTGATAGGATATATGGATGAATGAATGAACGAATTGACTTACTTAAAAATGGGGCACAAATTTCCTCCACCACTTGCTTCGTAAGCGTCAACATCTAATTGAAATCCATTACTCTCAAAGGCAGTCACTGTTATACAGTCGACAGTTATGTTCAAGCGAGGCGACGTCTCTATTACTTCGTCACGCACAAGAAATTCATCACAAAAATGTGTCCTATAAAAAAAGAAAATTGATTGCATAAATGCTATTGTAAAGATGATTTCCTCAGTCCTGGCGTACTGAATCGATGATGGTAAAAAAAAAAAAGAAATGAAGAAATTTTGGTAGTATGAACTGAGTTTACTACCAAAATATTAAACACTCTAGCACATCGCTGTGCGAATACTTTTGTTTTATCGTAAACTTCTATTTTCAATTCAATATATATTTGGCAAAAACATAACACAACTACGTATGGAAACGATAATAGGCTAACATTAAAACAATGAATGAAAGGGTTGTAGATTGGGCCTTCTGGTATTCATCCGACCTATGTAGGATAACATAAAGAAAGAGAGTGTTCAATATATACTGAAGTGGGGCTAACTAATTTACAGAAAGAGATGTAAACTTGTTTGCATAGGCCTACTTATATTTTTTGTGTGGAAATAATGAAGTAAACGGACACGGTTAAAAATTCTTTCAGTTCAAGTCCTTGTCACCCCTGCAAGTGACGTGAAGACTGACTTTTAGCTTAGTGCGGCGGTCATAGACCTCGGTCGTAGGCCTACGGTCGACCGTCAGCCGACGAATCAAACTCCGCTCAATGTCAGCGCTAAGCGCTAGGCGACATTGTGGAGTTCCAAGTGTGTTTCAGTAAAGTAATAAAAGAATACTATAGGAAACAAATACCATGTATAGACTTTATCATTTGGTACGTTGATAAAGACCTAAGGATACGTCGAAATATTGGTTTCGACCAACTGTTTCTAAAGTCTATACATGGTATTCTTTTCCTACATTCTTTTATATATACACACATATATATATATATATATATATATATATATATATATATATATATATATAGATGTCTGTATTGTGCATTTATGTTGTTGAAATTAGTGTTTTTTTTATAAGCGTGAATAGTTAGTTACATACTTAGCATACATTTTGAAATAACAATCTTAACATTAAATGTTATTAACGAAAACGAAGCAGATCTGGTTTTTAATAACTATTTATTTTACTTACGTTTGTCCATGGGTGAGTGAAATTGTCATCAAAGTTGCTAAAACACTTTTTAAGACCAAACGGCTAGCCATTATTGGCCCAAAACGAACCACTGTAGAAAATATATCCAATTACTCCTTTTTTTACTTTTTCGATAAATTTCCTCTATGATCAAAAAAATCACAAGCTTTCGATCATGTATCTATTGAGCGATTGCCGCCACCCTGTTGGACGTAGCCCAATATAAAGGGGAACCGTTGTATAGCTATCGAGTGCGGCTATACTTAATTCCATTTGTCTTGCCGCTATTGACGTTAGGTGTGACAGCTGTGAGGGCTAACAATGGTTCAATTGGGAAAAGTTACTGTTTGTAGCCATGTAATTGGTACTTCAAATTTGCTCTGTCAGCAGTATATGATTATTCTATGTACTAAGTATGCTCCAACGTATGTTACGCTCCGCACAGATTTTCTTAACGATCTATTCCTTTCATTTTTTCTGAGATGAGTACCTGGATATAGCTTTGAGCATGATTAAAATAGCTAACATCTTTGGATTGTAATTGTATGAGACTTGTATCAGTCCTCTAGGAGTGTAGGTCAATTCTAGTTTGACTTATTAGAAATCATGTTTGGAATTCGATGAATATAAAAGCTTAGGCCTAAAAGGATTTTTTTTCAATACAGTATATGTAATAGTTATTATTTCAATGGTATTTAGATACGCTTTTTAGCTCAGTCGGCTAAATTGGTTGTCAACGACGGCGCCAGCTATTGGGAACAGGTCGGACAGTCGCACACAATTTTTCTAATCGATCCACAAAAAATGGGTCCACATTTTTAAATATGGGTCCAAATTATGAAGTTTTATGCATAAAGTCCACTTTTCGGAATAATTGATCTATATTTCTCATATTTTGCCTAAAGTGGGTAAACTTTTGTGAAAATGCGTCCAGAATTTTAATATTTCTGCATAAAAATGGGTCCATATTATTTAGATTTACGAGTAAAGTGGGTCCACCATGATATTGAACCACACTGTTTGAAATTCCTGGCTACTGCACTGCTGGTAGTACTCACTGCGTACGCCTTTAACCGTGGGGATCTCTCTGGTCCCCGGTCCAATTCACATCGCTTCTCTCCTTGCGCTTGCAAGTCAAGTTTCAAAAGCGCACCGTCATCGGATGTCAAGTTTCTTTAATCGGGATTGTCTTCCGGTGTACAGCCCAATTCACCACCAGAAGGACCCATTGGAAGAAAGTCTTGGGACTTCCGTGGGTTACCATTAGTGTTTATCACACTGAAGAAATCCAATCCAATCTAATCCAATCCAATCCATGCAGTATCAGAAAAATAAAAACATCAGATATTATTCTCCTGAAGACGATTGAAGCAACTCAATCGAAACGTCGAGACTTTCTCAACTACAACAGTTCTTTTCAGAACTACCTACGTGGTGTACCGCAAGCTTCATATATATTTATAATATGTATAAAGATGAAGAAATTTGTATGATTTTTAATAAACATTGTAAATCATTTTTATCCAAGGTCATGGCTCACAGACATAAATTAATAATAGAAATTACAACTCCTATCTTGACTTAAATTGTAAAATAAAATGTAAACAGTTGTTTTACTTTCAGTATTAACTTTGTGTTTTGATTTATACTGTTTTATACCATTTTTATATTGTATTGTCTGGGTAGAACCTCTCCTGTGCGAGGGTGTTCCTGCGTTCTAAAGGAGAGTAGGCCTATTAATAAATCGTATTGTATCGTAACCATTATGGCGATTATAGGCCTCCGTTTTAGATAAATGCACACCATTATAAAAGAATAGGCCTACTTAAAGTAACAACAGTTAGGCTTAAACTGATGAATAAAAAGGCAGGCCTATGCATTTAACTTCTTATATAATAATAATTAGGGTAGAGACCTATTATTACTGTATATGATATTTGTAATAATAGTAATGCGACTAATGTCTTCCTCAAGAGACAGATATACACTGTTGGATTTTCTAGTATTTAATTTATTTACTTACTTAATTGGTTTCGGTTTCTCTATTTTATACAAGTATACAGTAGGCCTACGATACAAACTCGCAAGGCGAAGACAAATCTCAGGAACAGCTTAAGCAAATATTCACTATACAGTAACTCCAAAGAATCAACTGCCCCACTTTACAATGACCTAAGTTATAACAAAAACAAATAACAATGACACGGATAATAATAACAATAATAAAGCAATACTAATATTTATATAATGTACAATATAACTACAATCATTTTTTAGGCCTAATATTAGCTACTGTAGCACCTGACCTAATTATAACAGCAGGTATAAAAAGGCACGGCTGCTCTGAGAGACTAACTGAAATTTTTAAGTCACTGAACATGAAGTGGCTACTTATTTTAACACAGGCTTTCGATGGCATTGCCAGGTATAACTCCCAAAGCATCGGCCCCTCCTCTTTTCGAGAACCTAGGACTCACCGTCGGGAAAGTCCTGGAGGAACCCCTGCAAGTGACGTGAAAACTGACTTTGAGCTTAGTGCGACGGTCATAGACCTAGGTCGTAGGCCTGTCACGCCAAAATTGTTCCGGGCTAAAATCGGTCCGGGGGACCGATTTTGGCCGCTAAAATTTGTCCGGGGGACCGATTTTGGCCGGCCAAAATCAGTCCTCCTTGGATAAAATTGGCCCGGCCAGGACACATATTGGCTTAGCCTAATTCGTTCCGCCTACACCAGCTGCTACAGTGCTACACTATACGAGTTCGGTACTCAACCAATTGCAGCACAGTGAGTGCTTACTTATCGGTCCGCATTGATTTTTTTGAGGGGAAAGCTTTTTCGTGGGAAAGCTTTTTGGTGGGAAAATTGAAAATGAGTGACCAATGAATATGAATGTGATGGCGTTCAATCTGAAGCCTAATTTGCATACATCACCTTAGTATTACCACAGATCTTATATACAACAATATGCAACTAGTGTATATACAATTTGTATATAGGATCTGTGGTAACAGAGATGTATTTCACAGAATCACAGCTGACTTTATTCAATAGGAAAGAAGCTCTTAGGGTTATAGTATAAAAATTGGGGAACAGAAAAGGCCGACGTGCTAACTTCAATTTTACTGTCCGCAGATGTTCTGCTTTTTACTTTAATCATATTCTTAACTTACATATGTTCACTCTATGTATAATTGCTGTTTACTTTTGGATGTTTGAATAAAATACAATATATACAGACTGTTTCATGCTAATGCAATCTTCAGGAGTGAGAGAATACAAGGATTGTTTGAGTATATGAATGCTAAGGCAGGTGAAAATGCAAATGAGTTAATTGTTTTTAAGTATACAGAAACCCACACTTAAGAAACAATTCATATGTCACTGAAGAAACATTATTATTAGCATGTGTGTATGATTCAGATCCTAATATAATTACAATTATCAAATCAGAAAATGGACAAGCTTTACCCACTGATTTAGTGGGCACAAGGTAATTCAACAAAAGGACGCACATCTCCGCTCTCGAACATAGCGCGTGCGTACAGCC